ACACCCGCCTCCGGCTGCGCGGGGGGGCCGCGACATCCCGCCACCTGCGCCTGCCCCGCCGGGTCCCCGTCTGCGGTGGGGGCACGTGCACGCCGGGGCGCCTGTAGACATACCCAGCACACAGCGACTGACATGTAGCATTCGCCCCCCACGCGTGTGTGTACTGTATCTGCCTGTTTCTATATATAGATCTAGATACCTGTATAGAGATAGCTAGATATGTCATCATTGCATCTATCTATCTATCTATCTATCTATCTATCTATCTATCTAAACAGACAGACAGACAGATAGATAGATAGATAGATAGATAGATAGATGGATAGATGCACTGGGTAGAGGGGGAATTTATATATACCTGTCATATGTCAAATGATATATATCATCCCCCCCCAAGTGTGTTTGTATTATATCTATCTCTTTATCTCTATATAGAGATATAGAGATATATAGATAGATATGCCGTCATTGCATCTATCTATCTAGACCTAGCTAGATAAATAGACACGTGCATGGGGGGGGGCAAATTTATATATACCTATCATATATCAAATGATATATATCATTTGCACCCCCCCAAGTGTGTTTGTATTATATCTATCTATATATATCTATATAACTATATCTAGATAGCTAGATAGATGCAATGACGGCATATCTATCTATCTGTCTGTCCATCATGGACAGACAGATAGATGGATGCAATGGACAGACAGATAGATAGATGCAACGACGGCATATCTATCTATCTATCTATCTATCTATCTAGATATAGTTATATAGACCTAGATAGATAGATAGATAGATAGATAGATAGATAGATACCTATAATAGGTATACACATGCACTTTGGGGAGGGGCAAATTTATATATACCTATCATATATCAAATGATATATATCATTTCCCTCCCAAAGTGTGTGTGTATAATCCCTATTGATCTATCTAGACCTATATAGATAGAAAGATATGTAGACAGATAGATATAGAGATAGATACGTACACACATATGTTTATATATGTGTATCTATGTACACACACTTATATGTATAAGTGCATACACACAGACACTAATATATAATAGTGCAGTGCAGCTGGGATAGACTTAGACATGTTTTTGAATGCAGTCTGAGTGCATACATACAGACTAGATGATAGCTATATCTATCTATCGTATGTACGTATATGTGTGTGTGTGTGTGTGTGTGTGTGTGCACGCGCGCGTGCGTGCATGACAGGTTTCTGTGAGACAGCCATAAAGATGCTGCAGTGGAAGCATCCAGAAAGGAGGGGCTGGTACTGTGTGTGCCGCTGCACTGGGAAAGCCTCCTTCTGTTGGGCTCGGGCTTCCCCCTTCGCCCCCCTTAGACTCTGTTTTCCTTACATGTCTTTTTTTTCTTATATTCGTATGCTTCTCATGCCCTTTGTTTTTTTCTTATGCTCTGCTCTCTGCACTTGCTTTCACAGTATCTGGTGATGGGAGATCACACACATTTTGGGGAGCAAATATATATGGTCCAGATAGACTTAGACATGCTTTTGAATGCAGTTCATTCTTTAATTAATATATATGAATTACTATATTGAATTAATATATGTTAATATACGAATATTAAGAATGAACTGCATTCAAGAGCATGTCTAAGTCTATCTGGGCCATGTAGCTGGTCCAGTAAAAGATATAACCCACAGAAATCCTTACCTTTTTGTAAATCAATAATTTTTTTACAAGCAAGGGTTGGTGAGTCTTCCCAGGTCTGTCTTTCTGGTCCAGTTTTTTCCTTTTTGTAAGTAAGTTCATATCCAGGGGAAATAACATGGATCCAGGTAAAGGTCACTTGGCTAATTCATTTACGCTGTTTTAGGCAATTTTGAGATATTGTGATTCACTCTGTTCCAAATACATGCATTTGTCACATATGGCCCTGCTTGCAATGCAAATAAAACAATATTGATCTTTTAAATGTATTACTTTTTTTTTTTTTTTTAGTTGAATGTGGATTAGGCTACAGAAAGCCATCATTTCTGGCTCCCGATCCACGTCAGAGATGTTTGGTTATCACTTAGATATCCAAGGGGTGCTGGGATCTTAGTTCCATAATTACATTACATTTCATTGATTTATCTTGTTTTGTTAGTGGCATGGAAAGCATTTAGACAATAGATGTACTTCTGCTATTTATTTTATATTAAGATTATTTTCTTTGTCTTGTTCTTTGCATTTATGAAAAAGCATGCAAGATAGATACTGTGGTGTTTTTTGGTTGTTTTCCAAAGAAACCTTTTATAAAAGAATTCAGGGAAGCTCCACAGAGCTCAAGTAGCAGGAAATGATACATTTAAGTATCAAATAGTTCAACCAGATACTAAAGGCTAGAAACTTTCCTTGGGAAGGCTGCAATCAGCAAAGCATTAATACATGCTTAATTTTAAGCTTGGGACAGGATATTGAAACCCCATTAATTGCATTTTTAGAAGTATTTGTCTCTGAACATTATCTCTAGCTTAAAGTTGCAGCAAAGTACATTTAGATTGGATATCTGGAAAAATGTATTTCCTGTGAAAATAGTGAGGCAGTGGAATAGAGTGCCTAGGGAAGCTGTGGACTCCCCATGACTGGACGTGTTCAAGAAGAAGTTGGACAGCCACTGATCAGGGATTATCAAGTTGTAGCTATGCCTCTTTTCTGCCATAGATATTTCCTATGCTTCTGGGCTTTGCTGGTTGCTCCTGCCCTGCTCCCTTTTTTCTGTTATGCATTAGAGTTTTTTTAGCTTCCACAGAGGCATTGGGTGCTGGCTAGTTAAGGCTGGAGACGTCAGTTGAGGTGTGCTGATTCTCCTGCTAGGAGCAAAGCCCAGAGGTTCCTGGCTAGAGGGTCTTGCCCCTTTGCTCAAGGTCAGACTGCTCACCATATTTGGGGTCAGGAAGAAATACTACCCCATGGTCAGATTGGGATGGGCTTGTGGGGGTTTTTGCCTTCCTCTGTAGTGGGGCGTGTGGCCCTCTACCCAGGACCTCTTGTTCCCCTGCTTCACCCATGGCAGGTTAGGGTGTTAGGTCTATGTTGTGTCCGGGTTGAGGTTAGTCTTATGTAGAGTTTAGATTATGGTTATATGGGATGGTTTGGATAGGGATGATCCTGCTTCAGGCAGAGGGTTTGACTAGATGACCTTTGGAGGTCCCTTCCAGCCCTACTTCTCTAACTATAAAGACCCACATACACAGTAGATTCATAAAACCCAATAAGATGGTGGTTTTTATTTAAAGCAAGGAGCCAGCATACTGAGGCAAGGCACATGAACGCAAGTAATTGTTAGGTTTGATGCAGTAGGAAGGAAACTAAGGAGTGACTCAAGTGCATATACTTAACCTAGCATGATCTGAGCTTCCAGAGGTCTGTGAGAACTGCCAAAGGCGATGCAAAGAAGAGGGAAACCAGAGCTGCTGTGTGGATTCTCTATATGTATTTACATATCCCAAACCAATGCAACCTGCTTTATTTAAGACCAGACTTGGGAATTATTTTTCCAGAGTGTTCAGCATGTGGAGTCAGCTATATTTCATTTAAAGGGATGTTGCCCGTTCATTTAAACTGAAAACTTTGATTAGATACTTTCAGTTTATATTGTTTTGTATGGGTTTAGACTCATACAAATCAGTGAAGTAATTGAACAAGGGTTTACCAGCCTGTCCTGCACCGAAAATTTATCTTCTGAGTTAAATTTAAAGAGTTGTCATAACTATGGCAGAGCAAGTGGCATGCCAGCCCAAGATGCCAGTTTAAAGTTCTTTAGATTGACGGCCCTTGGAGACCTGGCAGAGCATCAGCAGCATCCAGAGCAGGTAGACCCCATCTACCACTCTCTGGCATCTCTGCCCACGGTGCCAAAATTGCTAGTTATGCCTCTCATCCACACTAAAGCAGTTTTTTTCTCCCTGAAAAAATAAGAGGCTGGAGGTTTGCAGGGATCATGTCTCAAATCACTCCTCAGCTTTGGAGCTTTAATTACTTTGTCATAATATCTAAGTGGTTATTGGCACTGATTTACTAGACAATGTCTTACTGCCATGAGGCAGTTTAATAGTTTCATAGATGTTCAGTGCTGGATGGGACCTTACAGATCATCGGGTTCAGCCCCCCTGCACTTGGGCAGGAAAGACTGCTGGGATCAGATAACCCCAGCAAGATGGGCATCAAGATGTTTTTTGAAGATTGCGAGGGTCGTGACTGTACCATCTCTGGGGGGAACCTGTTCCAAACCCTCTGCACTTGACTTATAAAGAAGTTTTTCCTTATGTCTAGCCTGACGCGATCTTCAATCAGTTTGTGCCCATTATTTCTTGTCCTCCCCTGGGGGGCCTCGGTGAATAGTTGTTTCCCCAGGTCCTGATTAGTGGGTGAGAGCTTGCCAGTGTTGGAAGTTGAAATTAAGTAGGCAGCTTCCACAGCTATTAGAACAAATATTTCTGATTGTGTACTTTGACCACTCTAGCAAAATAATTCTAGATCCCACAGTTAAATTCTGTCTTGCTTCTTTCTTTATATATGTAGGTACTTTATAGATGTAAACAGTTAATATATAAGCAAATTTGTTAAGGATATACAGATTCCAGATATGTTTTTGGATATATTGACTCATTGGGAGGTTTCCTGTATTTTCTATATCTCTTCCTCATATTCTGGGCTGTCGTTCTTAACTCTGATATAAAAAAGTGAACATAAGACGTGCCAGTGCCAAACTATGTCAGACCAATAGTCCATTTAGCCCAGAATCCTGTCTCTAAGTGGCAGAAGTGGATGCTGTATACTATAGGGCGGGCACTGAACCAGGTATCTCTGGAGTGATATATCCCTATTCAATGCCCTCTCTGATATTCACCATTTATTGTTTTAGAAATGCCCAGGGAAACGTCTTCAACTGTTCTGTTCAAAATACCTCTTAATCTGAT